CAAGCTTCATCATAACGTCTACGTTCATCATCATAACCGCCATCAGAGAAATCGCCAGAACTCAGATACTTCATATTTCGTTCTTCGTCCGATCCTCAAGAATCCTCCTCGCGTTCACCGCTCACCAGAAGACCTTCAAAAGAGCTTCAAGAACTCACACCAAGGTTCTCCAGTTTTGACGTAACATCTTGAGATCACCAAGTGTTTTTGAGCAAGCTCCCAGAGATTCACAAGCAGTTCGTACTCCTCATCCAGGTATGTTTTCCTTTGATTGCTAGGACGTATCGATTTGTTTTGTTTCATCTAGAACTCAGTTTGAGCATGGGATTGGGTCGGGGTTTTGTTAAGATTTGGGTTTAGTGTCAACTTTGTGAAGAGATTGAATGAGGGAGAGAGGTTAGAACTTAGGGTTACAGAGAGGGTTTGTGTGAGGAAGATGAGAGTGAGCGGCTAGGGTTCAATGATGAACAGTAGCCAGAGAGACTGAAGGGGAATTAGGTTTTGCTGAATAATTGGGTTAGGGTTAGGGTATTGGGCTAAGCCCAAGCGCGTTTGCTGAAGTGCACCCCCCATTTGCTCAATTCCCCCCCCCCCCCCCCCCCCCCCCCCCGTGTGAGAGATCAGAGTGAATTAGTTTGGGCCTTAGGCCCTAATGCTAGCTGCACCCCCCTGGGCATAAGCCCATTGAGAGATAACTGGGAAATTGCTAGTCTGCACCCCCCTGCGTTCAGTTCAGTTTTTGTTGTTTTTTTTCTGGTTAATAAGTTTGGGCCCTGCGCCCAGTGCTGTTAGCACCCCCCATCTTCAGGGCCCAATGTAGTAATAGCTGAGAATCTTGCTGTTAGCACCCCCCTCCAGTTTATTTCAATTTTGTTTTGTTAATTTCTTTTTTAATATTTTCTTGTAAATAAATCATAATAAAATGAAAATAAGTGTTTTTTAATTCTTCTTTTTTGCTACCATTTCATCATAATGTCTAGAAAATTGTATAAAAATAAAAATGCCATTTTATTTTTGTTTGCTATTTTTTTTGTATATTTTCCATTTAATTGACTTTTTTAATATTCTTTAGTGCATACATATTGTTAGAAAATTCATGAAAAATAGTAGATTTAGTCAAATAATTCCGTTCTTTTTTCTGTAGACTCGTAATTCAGTGTAGAATTTTATAGTGAAAAAATATTAGCTTAATCATGCATTTTCATTTTAATTGCCTTTTTTTGTATTGTTTTGCTATTAAATAACTGGTTTGCGGATATGTCTGTGTTGCTGATTTTAGTTCTTTCACCTGGTGTTGAATTTTGTTCTGATCTCTTAGTATGTTGTCATAGAGCCATGTAGGTTTCCCATAGATTTTAGTTAGATTTTTTTAGGATGTTCTGATGTGATTTGTCTGAGCTTGAAGATAGGAGAAGTCTTGATGACTTCTGACTTTGAAGTTCAACTGTGGTTGAACTTCAGAGGTAGCCTCTTGAGTTTTGTTGGCCTGTGGGTTCTTCTTGAAGATAGGAGCTGGTTGAAGTCCTGTTGGAGCTTGCAAGGATGCATTGGATTGAGGCTTAGTCTAAGAGTTTGTTATCTGTTTGTGAGGTTCGAGATCCTGAAGTTTGAAGGGAGTTTATGGTACTTTCTTGAGGAAGGCACTATGAATGACTTTCATTCTTTCTTCTCACCTCTTTCTTAAGTATCCAATGATGTTGGAGCCAACTTGTGAGTTTAATTTCTCCTGAGGAGGAATGTAAACTGATCACATGTTGTTGAGCCACGTGGGATACGATTCCTAAGTGGAAGCCTCCTAGTACTTTCCTGAGGAAGGTCCTATGGGTCTATTCACTTAGTTCCATTAGTTTATCTAGGATTTCTTAAGTATCCAGTGATGTTGGAGCCAACTTGTGAGTTTTATTTCTCCTGAGGAGGAATGTGAACTGATCACAGTTGTTGAGCCACGTAGGGTACAATTCCTAAGTGTCAGCCTCCTAGTACTTTCCTGAGGAAGGTCCTATGAGTCTGTTCACTTAGTTCCCTTAGTGCATATAGGTTTTCTCAAGTATCCAGTGATGCCGGAGCCTTCATGTGAGTTTAATTTCTCCTGAGGAGGAATGTAAACTGATCACAGTTGTCGAGCCGCATAGGATACGATTCCTGAGTAGTAACCTCCTAGTACTTTCCTGAGGAAGGCACTATGAGCTTGTCTGCTTAGCTCCCTTTCTCTGGTAAGCTTGTTCTGAAGCTTGGAGGCTGAGATTGATTCCTCTTGCTTAGGGTTTGATTAGAATTTTTTTGCTTAGATCTTTGCTTAGGGTATTGTATAGAGTTTTGTTTAGAGATAGATTAGGAGCTTGTTTCAGGTTTGTTAGGGGCCTTGCCCAGGAGTAGTTTCTTGTTTTGTAGATAGAGGCTTATCAGGTTAGCTAGCCTTCTCTTCGTATTGTTTGACTTGTGTGATGTTATGTTGCATTAGACTTAGGTATTCATCTAGATGGTTCTGAATAGGTGCATCTTAGAAGTAGACTTTGTGTGCATGAGAAGTTGAGGTGGTCCTCCTTCTGCTTGTTTGTTATTGCGTGGCTTTGCTTGTTGGTATTTGGTAGAGCTGTGCTCCCTTGCCTTTGTGGTGTGCGGCCTTTGCGCCTTGTTTGTTTAGTTGTTGCATTCATGCATATTTCCGGTATTTCTTTACTTTGCAGTTTCTTGTTTGTAGTTTAATCCTGTTACCATGATCCCTTAGGAGCTCTGACTTCTCCGCTGCGGAGTTGTCATGATAGACATTAGGATGGTCAACCAGGTGTGATAGCAGTAGGTAGATTCCCCTTTCTCAGCTATAGTTTTAGGGTTTCCCTTTCCTTTCTGTAGGTGCTTTTGAGTAGCTTGATCCGTAGTTAGCTGAACTACAGCTGCTCTGATTCTTCGTACCAGACGAAGATATGTAGGCATAGGATGCGATATCCTAGCGAGCACACTAACAACTAACCTTTGTTCTCTCGCGGCTGTGCGATCGAGACTTTCCCGCTAACGACTAATTGTTATCCCTTTCTCTTGCCCGAGTGCATTTGAGACCAGATCGTATTTGTAGGTTCCCGAGCCTTTAGGACCAGTTTGTTTTCTCACTGCTGTGTGAGGGCCCCCTGTTTACCCGTAGTTAGTCGAACTACGTTTGCTCTGATCTTCCATGCTGTGTGGGAGTACGTAGGCACAGGACGCGATGTCCTGGCGAGCAACCTTTCCCCCGTTTAGACGTAGGAAGTCGAACTACGTTGACTCTGACTTTCCCATTGCACGAGGGAATACGTAGGCCCAGAACACCGTATGTTCTGTCGAGTCCTGTCCTTTTATTTTCTTTTCAGACCAGCCATTAGCGTAGATAGATAACACACCCTTTACCTATAAACACCAAGCGTGGATCCCATCGAGTACGATGGACGTGAGGGGTGCTAATACCTTCCCCTTGCGTAACCGACTCCCGAATCCAGGTTTTGGTTGCGATGACCATACCTTTTCCCGTCTTTGCGAGGTTTACTTCGAGCGTTTCCTTTCCCGCTCTGAGGGATAAATAACGCACGGTGGCGACTCTTCTGTCAAGCCGGCGCCGATTTTCGCAGTAGCGACAGTATCTAGACCAAACAACACGATAATGACAAACTAGAATGCGTTGGAGGAAACATTATTGAACATATTCTTTACTCACAACAAATACATAAAAGCAAAAACAACCATTGGGGTGTTCTCCAAGACCTAACTCAAACTTTGTTTCTGTCTAGTTAATAATGTTTGAAATATTTTACATTGTAAATGTATGTTAATCAAATTCTTGTTTTATTAAACAAATTAATACTCTTTCTAATTCAAAATAATTGTTGTTTTAAGAAAAAAATATATTTCAAAATGAATATCATTCCCACTTTCATGTAGAAATGATTGCTATTTTTCCTATTGTGTCGTTTAATTATTATTTTGTACATTACTTCCAACACATTAATAAGACTAATTTAATAAAAATATAATGTCTTATAACAATATTATTGCATTCTTTAATTTGTATGTAAAAATTTTAAACTAGAGTAATTTTGAAATGGAGGGAGTACATTTTTAGAGAAAATTAATAGAGTAATGCTAATCTGTGCCCTTGGGACACATGCTTAAAAAAAATCCACAAATAGAAAATTCGTATTAGAAAAAGAAATAAAACCATTAATTGTAAACTTGCTTTAAATTTAAAACATAATTTTTAATAAATTTTTACTATATTTATCTCTTAACTTGTGTCCTGAGACACAAGTTAGCATTATCTAAATTAATAATTTTATTTGACTAACTAAATGATACGAAATGCAATAAATAATAAATTGATATAATACTCACCCCGTTTCATAATGACTGTTGTATAGGATTTTTGTACATGAATTAAAAAATGCATTAATATTGTGATAAAACATTGTATTTTTATTAAATTAACTTTATTAATAAATTAAAAATAATATACAAAATAATAATAAAAAAATACAATTAAAAAAATATCAATTAATTAAAGAGTTTAATTGGTATATATTGTCCGTGTAAAATAATTTTACACTATCCTCATATATCCTACCACATCATCAATGCATACCAATTAAATTTTTAATTAAAAAGAGAAAATAAAAACATTTTTTCTTCTTCTTTTAAAACTATAATTATTTTAAAACATTTTTTCTTCTTTTAAAACGATAATTATTTTAAATGGAAGGAGTATCAAACAAAAAGTATGGATATGGATATGATGAATAGCGTGGGTCGCGCTGAAGTTGACATCAGTGCATCCATCCATACCAAATCATTTCCCGTACCTACCAACCCACCTCGCACTCACATTTTCCAAGAAATTTCAACGACAAACATAATAATCCAATGCAACGGCACCACACCATAACCAAATACACCCTCAATCCCTAGCAACAACATTCTCTCTCTTCCCATCATCACCTCCACACCATGGTCTGAAAACCCTCGCGAAATTCCGGGTTATGGGGGCCTCGTTGTCGAACCTTGGATCCAACGGTTCGACCATCGGTCCAAGCCTCGGCGACATCCCGGAGAATTGCGTTGCTCGTGTTTTTCTTCATCTATCTCCGCCGGAGATTTGTAACCTAGCTCGTCTCAATCGTGCTTTTCGTGGCGCCGCTTCCGCCGATTACGTTTGGGAATCTAAATTACCCTCAAACTACCAGGATCTTGTCCGTTTAATGCCCGAGGAACGGTGTCGGAATCTATCTAAGAAGGATATTTTCGCTGCGCTCTCTCGGCCGTTACCGTTTGATGACGGTAATAAGGTAGGGTTTTGTTTTTTGATGTTTTTTTTTGTTTTTTGATTTTTGTTTTGTTGTGAGATTTATTGATGGAACTAGGGTTTATGTTGCAGCAATTGTGGCTTGATAGGGTTACTGGAAGGGTTTGCATGTCGATTTCGGCGAAAGGTTTGTTGATTACTGGAATTGATGATCGTAGATACTGGACTTGGGTTCCCACTGAAGAATCTAGGTTACTTTCTCAAAATCTTATGCTTAATTTTTTAACTTAGTTGTGGTTATGCTTGAGAAGTAGAAACTGCAGAAAAGTTATGTGTTTCCTTATTTATACTTGAAGTTGAAATTGAACTCATGCTTCATGCATGGCAATAACCAAATGTTAGTGTCCATGGCTTCAGATATACATTTGCTTATGTTATTTCTATAATTGTAGATACGATAAGTATGAGCTGCTAGTTGTTTTCTTAAATTACGACGTAAAACTTAATGAAATCCGCTGAAAACAATTTCAGAACATGTCGTGAGGTGTTTTACACTCACACAAGTGCATACGACATTAGATTAATCCGCGGCTAAACTGCAAATAAACTTTTTCAAATGCACCCTAAGATCCAAATATGTCAACTCTTTTGTTCTATCACAAATTTATGTAAGTTTTTCCCATAGGTTGCCGGTTAAAGTCTCATTGTTGCCTGTGTGGCTTGTTTGATTTGTTTTGATTGTTCTGTTGTCATTTTCAGAAAGTAGAAATAGGATTATATTTCTATGGTGTCAAATTCTTTTGATTCAAGAGGAGTGCTAGAAGAACAATGTTTTTGAGTCACACACTCTTGAGTATATATTCTTTATATTTTGGTTCATTTTTAAATAGTCAATTTGGATGCTTTGTAAGCTGATCACTTTTTAATAAATATGTTGATTTTTGAGAAATGAAACGTTCAAGAAGAGTATGTTTTGTTCGTTCCAATATAAGAATAATTACCGTTACAACTTGTTACCATTTGGATGTTTAACTTTCCTGATGCTATCTGTCTTGTTTTGTGCTTTTAAGTGCTTCAGTTACAAACTTTATTTATAATGAGAATGTTAAATTATTGGGTGCTGCTGGAGCCAAACCAAACAACCTAGTGTGCTTGGATCAGTTACTTGATTTGGGCTTTTTATTTGGCCCAAATCCAATGTAAAGGTTGTTATGGTATGGACTACTTGGCAACCCAATTTCTGTATTTCATCTTGCAAGTGAATGCATCCTCGGCTAAGTTCTAAGACTTCGTTCCCTAAAAAGAAAGTTATCACTGTTCAACTTCTCTGATTTTTGGCTTCTGTATGAAAAACTGTTTTGGTTTTTGCACATTAAACTTCTATGCATACATGTTCTGCCTTAGTCTGGATGAGAAACAGAACTCACTGCGTCAATTATGAAGTGAATTGTATTCCTTCTCTTAAAAGATGCTTAAAATATCCTATATTCATCTCTAATTTTTAAGCTACACTGCTTACTTGCAATTATAAACAAGCCTCATAATAGCGCGTCTCATTGCTATTTTCGGTGTTATAAGAAGTTATTTTTGAACATCTTGTCAGCAACACTTGAAATTTAGAAGATTAAATGAATTGTTAAATACACATACTTCTCATAAAAAATACAAAAATTGTCAGCAATGGCAATGATGGTCCTCATGTGTTGCAAAGATAAAAAAAAAGTTGTAAGGGGCTTGTTCTCATCAAAATGCAGACTATTGTGCAACACAAGTTGATCTCTTAAAAAAGTGAAATGTCCGATCTATGAACGAAACATCAATTTTTTCCAGTTTCCATTCTTAAAATCACGCCAAGTCCCTCCTTATATGCGATTTGTGTTGTGTTTTCTTTTTTTTCTTCAAGAAATAGTACCACTATTAAGCTTGATGTTTAATATGTTTTGTTTAATCTGTCCTCATTCTGTTCTGATTACTGAATTACATTTCCACTATCATTCATTTCAGGTTCAATGTTGTAGCATATTTGCAACAAATATGGTGGTTTGAAGTGGATGGTGAGGTCGACTTTCCATTTCCTGCTGATAGTTATACTCTCTCCTTTAGACTTCACCTTGGACGATTTTCCAAAAGGCTTGGTCGGCGCGTATGCAATTATGAACAGACCCATGGTTGGGAAATAAAGCCGGTAATATTTGAGTTGTCGACTTCGGATGGTCAACAAGCATCATCTGAGTGCTGCTTAGATGAAACTGAGAACGATGATACATATGGCAATCATAAGCGAGGATATTGGGTAGATTACAAGGTAGGTGAGTTTATTGTGAGTGGATCTAAACCTACCACTAAAGTTAGATTCTCCATGAAACAGATTGATTGTACACACTCAAAAGGTGGGCTTTGTGTAGATTCTGTATTTATCGTACCTAGCAATCTGAGAGACCGCAAGGGAGGTGGCTTTTTGAAATGATCAGACATGGAATAGAGCTTTTTTTACCTTGTCAAATTTCCCAAAATACTTTGTTGGGATCTATTACAGCTACACTTGTGAAGATAATTTAGAATGCCGAGGATATCATCTTTTGCTGGTTTTTTCTGAAATCTTTTTGCTGGTTCTGTGGCACATATGTACCAACTAGTTGTATGTAATCGCAATTTCTATGTATTTATGTTTCACCCCTGTTCTATAGGATTTTTGAATGGGCTCTTTAAGGTATTGTTTGATAAGGTTAGATAACAACAGTTGTAGAGTATTTTTTGGAATAACCCCATAAATTCAACATACATAACCCAAAAATGATAAATTCCTACTTTTTTTTCTTTAGTTTCACCGCTACTCTGCATATCCTTCTTTCTTGCAAGTTGCTCAGCTATGTAAGTTATGCCGTCTCTATTTTTCTTTCTTCGTTGATAGTTGGTGATTGTAATATGGGAGTGTCTCTATTTTTCTTTCTTCGTTGATAGTTGGTGATTGTAATATGGGAGTGTTCGACACTCGGGTTTGTTGCAACGTTGAGTTGTGCATTATGAGTTTGACGATTCTCAGTGCACAAATTTTCATCTCCCGGGGCACAATAGACACGTAATATCGCCAATGTAAAATTTATGATACACATGTAAATATATATAAAAGAAGACACCCACACAACTGTTATGACTTAATAAAATATAAACACCACCTTTAAAATATGTAAATTAAGTGTAAAATAAATATTATGATTAAATAATATCAGAAAATCTAAAGAAACAATGTTTTGGGCGAAATCACAAGAATCATATCAGAATCAATAGTATCAAATTTGAGATTAAGTTGTTTGTCAACTATAAACACAAACACTATAAACACAAACATTAATGAATAATGAAATAGATTATCCTTTCAACATTCAACACGCAACAAATTACATGAACTTACGCAAGTCTAGAGCAAAATAATTAAAGTGGTCTAACTTAACAAAACTAACCACACATGTTACAAGAAATCATAAACAAAAGTGAAAGAAAAGCAAATTGGAAACGAAATGATTTGATTTCTTTGGGGAACTCCAACTCCTATTTTTTAAAAGTCATCTGATCAGTGATAAAATTCAACGAAATGTCTTTTCAAATTATAGGAAACTACTAAGAAGAATGACTTAGAGAATTGCTATGTTGACACCCTATTAACTTATACCGTATGTACACCATAAAAGTTTCCAAACATTTTATTTTGACACAAAAACCAAAGCATGGAAAAATTATTAAAAAAAACAAATGATACATATAAAGTATACATATACGGCGTATATGTAACTTTTGAGTGTCAACTTAACATTTCTCTAAACATAATCTCAATTTATGTGTTTGAAATATCAAACATAATATAATATAATTTTGAAACACAATTTTTTTCAAATAGTATATTAAACAAAACATTTAAAAAAATGCGATTAGTCGTAGACTTGACAAGGTCACATGCAAATATATTTAAAAATATTTCTCATAACAACCTTGTTGAAAGAGAACCAATCCTACATAACCATATTTAAAATTTCAAAATTGCTGCAAATACTTTGATACTTTAAAACAGATGAAATTAACTTGTATTAGGAATGATATATACACTAAAAAAAAATATAAAGATTAAACAATTATGCCATATAATTTTTGCAGCATCAGGATTCCAATGTAACAGAAAAAAAAAACTTAACACGAAACAATACAATTGTTTTGGAACAGAAAGTTAACTCAAACTAATAGTTAACATAAGCAATACAAAAGTTTTCATGATAATATATAGCTGACTCAAAGATCAGTAAGTGGTGCATCTATTTTTTAAAATTTTTCTGTTTGATTAGTTTCATCATCTTCGTGGAGGACATTTGAACACTTTCAACATCTTCTACAATATCAGGATTTGTTCTTTTCGACAGAGTCAGCAATGAATTTGCAGCTGAAGGGTCATAATCTCCAGATGCAGATAATGGTTCCTGCAACTATGTTTTAAATATTGATTAATTATTGTATGGAACAAACAATGTGGTAATTAATGTGATTACATATGAAACATATACTTATAGAAAAATTCCTCAAATCCTCTTGTGACGAAGGCTCCGAAAGGCCAAGCTTTGATGCATGCTGCCAAGAGGTAACCAAATTAGGACACTATTCATTCCTAAATACTTGGTTCACCGATATAACTCAATTAGGCTTAAAAAAAATATACCTCTTCAGATTTGAAACTGTCCCGTATTTTTTTATGTGAATTGTCATCGTCTTTGAATCCAATAACTGATAATCTGTCAAACTTTGGCTGAAAAACAACTCTAATAGCCAATTCATTTTTCAACAAAGCATCAAGTTCATAAGAGAATTTTAGGGGATTGTCTTCACCGGCCTAAATTAATACCAACAACTTAATATAAACAACCGTTGAAGAAACAAATACTACCTCTATTAATTCATTTTTCATTTGCAGAGCAGATTTTTCGATTAACTTCACACAGTCGCCGTCCCAAAAGACGAATCGGGCCTTGAATTTCCTGTCAATTCCCAAAACATCAAGCTTGTATCTATAACAATTAAAGTTAATGAAACATGAGTTCATAGTGAACAATACTGAAGGACATTTTTCAAATACTTATATAACACAATACTTTAATTCATACATCGGGATCGATTCAAATGTTATATGATTTGCATAACACTTCAATTTTCCATCTTTAAAAGACACACTTTTTGTACACTCACCATACCCATCGTAATACCACCCTGCCTAGCCTACCTCAAATTTGTCAAACTTCACAACGGTCACATAAGTGTTTAACACTCATGATTTCAGTCAAACTAAGAATATCGGCCTTCCATATAAACTTATCAAACTCATAATACTGTGAGTTTTTGGTCGTTTCAACTTGCTGGCTAGACGAAGATAACTTTGGCAATTCAACATGAAGATTGTAATGTATGTAACAAAGGAAAAAACCATGGATTGAATTAGATTATCGGTTAAGAATGATATCAAAATTATATACGTGAATAGTGCTATACTAAGCTGTTTTTAACTACCTTTCTTTTAGCTTACTAATCTCAAGAATGCTAACATTGTTTATAGTCAACTTAGTGCTCGGTCAAACGTTGGATACATTCAACAAAAAAACACCTTCCATATGTCAAAAATTTATATATTACAATGTAGTCATAATAGACATTGGTAAATAGATTGTAAGAAGATAGTACAATAGTAAATAAATACCATAACCGACCCAATAAAAAGTACCTTGGACGCCCTTTATCCTTTCATTCTGCAATAGAACAATAATGTTTCCTTCTTCATTGTGACTCTTGTAATATTGGTAAAACTACAAAGCAAGCTGACCCCATAGAGTACATTGAACCAAAGTTTTGCTGCTGAGAAAAACATGCCCAGCAAATATGAATCTAAACATGTGTTAGTTCCATGATTCTATGATTAGCTAAATTTTGGTAAAACATGATTCTACACTGATGTTAAGTAAGATGCTATAACATCTTCATCAACTGTTATAATAGTACTACTGTCATGTGTTTCAAACAAGATGTCGAGACAGATGTCATGACATCTTTGTCTAGTACACCAGTCACTGCTACTTTATATCTCTTGATAGAGGTGTTTTGGTTTGATGAGATTCTCTTGGATATACCTCATCGTTATGCGCAAGTCAAGGAGATTTATTAGGAACAAAGTGCAAATTTAATTGGATTTCATAAAAAGGATCTTTGAAACTTTTTAGAAAACTATAAAATACTTGTTTCTATTTTTGTGGAGAAGATTCTGCAGAAGATTTACAATGAGAAGATTTGGAATTTGATTTGATTTGATCAAATATGAGTTGGTCTTAATTATGCGAAGATTTGGAGTTTGATTTGATTTGATTTGATCAAATCTAAATTGGTGTTAATTATGAAAAATTTGAAGAATTATCTTATGAAAAGATTTGAAGAATTATTTGATTTGACTTTATCAAATCCGAGTAAGCTCTTGCTAAAGTCCAAACTCATACTAGAAGAGGCTATAAATAAGGACTTGCTAGACCTAAAGAAGACAAGCATTCACAACAAGAAGATCTTGGGTACAAAATAAGGGTTTAAGATTTTGAGAGTCTCTTGTGTGTGTGACTTTGTAAGTCACCCTTTGTATCTTTTGATGCATCGTGGTAGACATATTTAAATTGTAAGTTGTTCACTCAAAGGTTGTAAGCAAGAGTGTATTGTTCTTGATTAAAGTTGTTAAGCAAGACCAAGTATTATCTTTGAAGAGTGTATTCTAAAGTTTTATTAATTTATTGTTATCACTGCTGTGATTGAGGGGGAGTGAGAGGTGTCTCATATCTAGGAGTGTCCTAGGTAGAAGTTGCATTGGTAGGGATTAAGTTAGAGATTGTAAACGGGGGAGTTTAGCTCTGAATTGATACTACTGATATTGGATTTCCTTCTTGGCTTGGTAGCCCCCAGATGTAGGTGATGTTGCACCGAACTGGGTTAACAATTCATTGTGTTATTTATCTTTCTACATTTAATACTCTGCTCAATTTAAATGGTTAGGTAAATTGTTCTGTCAGTCTGCAAATGTTACAACAAATGTCATGACACTGTTAATTCTTAAAGTAAATCAAAATACTTGTGTTCTGTCCTTGTTATGGTTAAGCAGAGATCAATGTCTAGGACATCTGAGATCTGCATACCCGAATTTAAATTGGTATCAGAGTTGGCATCCTGTTTATTCTGGATGAGATCTTGGGACATACTTTCTGTTGTTTTAAACAAGGAGCTGATTTGCTGATCTTGCTAAATGTTTGAGCTGCTGATGGGTTCTTGAGGAGTTACTGCTTATGGAGTTAAGGGGGAGTTTGTGTTTACTCCTGCTTTTGAAGGATTCTGTGTATCTGCTGATGTGCTCTCTGATATAGGAGCTTCTGTGATTTGTTGAATGTTTTTTTGGAGAGATCAGAT